GGTTTCTGTGCGCTTAGCGTCTTATATGCCTCGCTAAGTCAAATGCTGGCGCTGCCTCCAAGAAATAGGTACCATGTCTCAGATTTGGTAGGGTTGCTCTAATATACATAAATATTGTCTGGAGGTAATTTTTTTTTTTTGACAATCTTTATTTTCGTTTTAACGAATACATACAATGTAGTAAACAAGGGTTCAGCACCACATTACACTGGGAAGATAATGCAATGGTACGCCAACAACAATTGTACACTACATTAAGCAGGGAGACCCCGGGGCTACTAGCTGGCATCAGGAATGCGCGTTTAGGCCACTTAATCCACTATTGAGAGAAATGCGTGTATTACACTGGTAGCCGGTGTCAAAGCACGGCTGGTCTTGCACTAAAACCCGCAGAGGTGTCGATTGTATGGCCTAGGGTAGTGGAGGCGACATGATGGCTCTGGTTTTTATCTTGCCCGACCTTGGCCTATTTGCTACTTTCCAGTCTCCCGCCCATGGAGTGTTAGTCGGGAGTTATCATTACCCTTAACTCTAGTCTTAGTCTTTACTCGTCAGGGAATATATACTGCGTTGTAGCAACCGTTCAGGATCACTAGAAGTCCAGTCATGTATCCCATTAGACTCACTAACCGGTCACTTCCCGTCATCCACTGGTCGTGTCAGTGAAGTGCCCCCCGCGGTCTGTTCTACTATGTGGGGGACGGGTCTAGAAGGATGAAGGTAGTTCCCACGTTTGCCGAATGGAGACTGTGGCGGGCAGGGGAGTCTGTCAGTCTTGTGTCGCAACTGTGAGCTGGGTAAAGTCCATCCTTAGGTGGTCGTCTGGTACAGTCCGAATTGGCCGCCCGGGCCCGTGGCGGGCCTCGCCAGTGCATGTAGGAGGTTCCGAGGGGAAGGGAGAGCCCTTAGGGAGAAGAGGGGAGGAGGGGGAAGCGGGGGGGGGATAGGGTGGGGGGACGAGGAGAAGAGCGTCGCGGCTCGGTCAAGGGCAGGGGGACCCACCACCAATCTCCGGCGCGCGGCCTGCGACTCAGGGGATGCATCGGTCAGGTCGGCGCCCGGGGATGGGTGCGCTCTATAGGCAATCCAGGGGCCCCATAGTCGGGAACACTGCTCTCCAGTGCCATGTAAGTCTGCCGTAAGGCTTTCCATAACAAAGATTTCTTCTATCTTATCCTCCCATTCCGAGATCGTTGGCACTAATTGAGTTTTCCCTTTATTAAGGATTAGGCTTTTGGCCGCATTCAGGAAGTGCTTCGTTAAGGACTTTTTATATCTGCCAATCGGCATGTCAGTGTGATGGAGCAGCATCGGGAGGGGTAGCAGTGGTACCTCGGAATCCAAGACTTCCTTCAGTTTCCCATGAATTTGTCGCCAGAAGGTGGCTATGGGAGGACAGGTCCACCATATGTGCAAGTCCGTGCCATCCGCCGACCCACATCTCCAGCACTGGGCTGTCGGCGTGAGGCCCATGTGGTGTAGTCTAGCGGGTGTCCTTTACCCATCCGGTCAGGAGCTTGTAGTTAAGCTCCCTAAGTTTGGTGTCAACTGTTCCCAGGTGTGCCAGAGTATGAATCTTCTCCCAATCGGCGTCTGACAGGCCCTTCCCCGTCGCCTGCTCCCATTGTGACTGGTAAGGGGCCGGCGGCAGCCGCATGGCCCTGAGCAAGGCGGCGTAGAGGACTGAGATGACCCGGGGTAGGTGTGACCCCTCCGCGCACAGTGACTCAAAGTATGTCAGGTCCCTGTGTATAAGCTGGGAGCCAGGTAGCGCGCGGCATGAGTTTCGGATCTGGTGATATCGGAACCGCAGCAGCCCTGTGATCCGTGCTTGTGACTGCAGGGACTTGAGAGGACGAACCTGGCCATTCACGCACCAGTCTCTCGTGCAACTCGCCCGGATTTCCCAGACCTTCCAAATCTTTCGGCGCCAGGCCTCCAGCTATGTCCGGATTAAAGACCACCAGCGTCAAGGGGGACGGGCTTGTGGAGAGGCTCAATTTGAACCGGAGGTTCGACCAAACTCTGTGTCATCCCGATCAGCGGGTGCTCCCAGATATCCCTAGCTTGTAGGGGGCGGGGAGCCACGCCACCCACGGGAGTCGTCCCGAGGCCTACGTGCGTTCCAGGTGGACCCAGTGCTTGTCCGTCAGGGGGACGTGCCAATCCACGAAGCGAAGGAGATGGGCGGCGAAGTAATAGGATTGCAGGTCCGGGAGGCCCACCCCGCCCAGGTGTTTCGGCTGGATCAGGTGCGTGCGCCTCAGTCTTGCTGTCCCCATTTTCCACACAAATCTTCTGATGTCCGTATTCATGGTGTTAAAGAAGGCCTGGGAGAGTCGAATTGGAATAGTCTGAAAAAGGTACAGGAGCCTCGGTAAAAGGTTCATTTTGATGGCATTAATTCTGCCGAACCATGATACGCAGGGCGCCCCCCATCTCAGCATATCGGCGCGTAGTCTGGTTTGTAGGGGCAGGAAATTCAGGTCCCTCGTCAGTCAAATCCCCAGGTATTTAATACGGTGCGGACACCACTTGAAGGAGAAGTTAGCTTGCAATCGGGGTAGCAGGCCCGTTGGCAGACGCAGCAGGAGCGCCTCGGACTTGTCCATGTTTTAGTTTCAAATTGGACAGCGTGCTGTCTGGAAGGCCCTAAGGAGGTTCGGCAGGGTGACCATTGGATTCTCGACAAAAAAGAGTAAGTCATTGGCATATGCTGCCACCTTGTGCGTCCTGTCGCCTATTTCGACTCCCGCAACGCTCCCGTCTTGCCTGATGGCCTCCAAGAAAGGTTCCAGCGTCAGGGCGAATAGGAGGGGGGACAGAGGGCATCCCTGCCGCGTGCCATTCCGAATCTCGAAGGGCGGGGACAGGGAGCCATTGATCCGCAAGCGGGCCCTTGGGGCTGTATACAGGGCCGAAATCCAGAGCAGCACGTGTGGGCCGAACCCCATGGCCCGCAGGGTTTCACGCATGAATTGCCAGTCCACCTGGTCAAACGCCTTTTCGGCATCCGTAGAGAGGAGGCTACCGTGGGCAGAATTCCAGGTGGCGTGGATGATGTTGACGGCTCTGACTGTATTATCCTTGGCCTCCCGGCCCGGGATGAAGCACATCTGGTCTGGATGCACCAGGCTGGCGGCCACCCGGCCCACCCGAAGGGCCAGGATTTTAGTAAAAAGCTTGAGATCCGAGTTAAGGAGGGAAATGGGTCTGTAGCTAGTGCATGCAGCAGGGTCCTTCCCCTCCTTTGGGATGACCGCCACCGTCGTCATGAGGGTGTCCCCCAGGAACCTCTCCCCTCCCCCCCCCCCTCCAGGATAGAGTTCAGTCCTGTTAAGAGTTCGGGCATGAGGATTTCCCTAAAATGGTTAAGGTATCTTACGGGGAGGCCATCTGGGCCTGGCGCCTTGTTGATCTTGGTAGTCTTAAGGGCCCGAGGAGCTCAGCCAGTGTGATCGGGGATTCCAATTCCTCTCTGAGATTGTGAGAGCTTCCGGTGGACATGGCGTTCCAGATAGTCCCGCATCTCCAGCAACCTCGCCTGGCTTGCTTCCGTCCCCCTCTCTGCCAGGAGGCTATAGAGTTTAGTGTAGAAGGCCTGAAATTCAGTAACGATTTGGTCTGGGAGCCTTGTAAGGGCGCCTCCCTGGGTCCGAAGTGTAGTAATCTGTGAAAATCTCCTCTTCTTTTGTAACATTTTGGCCAACATGCAACCGCATTTATTTGAGTGTTCATAAAGGTACCTGCGCGATTTACATAGTGTATGAGTTAATTGTTGTGTAAGGAGCTTTTTGAGGTCCCTACGTGCTTCCGTTAAAGCCCGGTAAGTGTCTTCCGCCTGGGTCTCCCTATGTTCCAGTTGCGCGGTACATGCGTATAGCTCTGCCAGCCGTTTGTGTTGTTCCTTTTTGCGCATGGTGCAAAGCTTGATGAAATGGCCCCGGACAACACATTTATGCGCTTCCTATCTCATCAATGGAGATACCTCTGGGGTGGTGTTAGTGTCAAAATAGTGGCGCACTTCTGCCGTCTCTGCGGTAACCAGCGGGTCACCCAGTACTTGTTCATTAAGCCTCCACTGCCTGTCGGTGGGTACAGTCGCCTCGATTTATGTCTTCGTGTCCCAGGAATTCCTTCAGCTCCTCCAGACGTGAACAAGGGGGAGCGGATCGTGGCCAGGATCGGGGAATGGTCCGACCAGACCGCCGCCTGTATCTCGCACGTGTGGAGGAGTTGAAGGAATTCCTGGGACACGAAGACATAATCGAGGCGACTGTACCCCCGGTGGGCTGTAGAGTAGTAGAAGTCCTTCTCTTCCAGGTGGAGGACCCGCCAGGTGTCCGCCAGGCCCGCCTCACGGAGCGCGCCCTTGGTAATCCTCCGGCAAGTGTCCGAGTGGCCTTTGGACGTATCCCAGCGGGCTCCAGGGGAACGTTGAATTCACCTGCCACCACAAGGAGCCCCTCTCGAAAACAATCTAGCGCTTTCGAGGTTCTTGCAATGAAGTGGAGACTATTCTTCTGCCCCGGAGGGGCCCCCCCACATCCTTCCGGGGGTCTCGCGGTTTGTGGGTCTGGGTCCTCTTGGCGGTTCCTCTGTGCCAGCGGTGTCTCCAGCAGCCAATTCCGTACGCGGAGAGGTGGTAGATGAAGGGCCCTCAGTGCCGGGGTCACGTCGTCCAGCCAGCGGATGTGGAGCCAGGAGTTGCCGTGCTTGACTTGCAGGCTTGAAAGGAAACCCCCAGCGGTATGTAATGTGCCTGTCTCGGAGGATGGTAGTCAGGGGTCAGAGAGCCCTCCGTGCGTCTAGGGTCAGGCTGGAGAGATCTTGATAGAGCGCCACTTCAGCACCCATAAAATTAATCGTATCCACTCCTCTGGTGGCGGACATCAGGGCCTCCTTCAAGCTGTAGGCATGCAGGCAGCAGAGGACGTCTCTTGGTCTCCCGTGCTGGCGTGGGGGCCCCAGGGCCCGGTGCACTCTATCCAGTTGTATGTCTACGGAGCACTCCCTGTCCAGAATTTGTACAAAGAGAGCCCGAACTGTATCTGCAAGCGGTGCGGAGTCCGGCCCCGGATTCGGATGTTGCGCCGGCGGCTACGATTCTCCAGGTCTTCTACCTGGCGGCGTAGCGTGAGGAGGAGTTTGTCCTGGCGTGTGGTGGCCAGCTCTGCGGTTCTGTGCTGTGTTTGGCAGGCCTGCGCTTCTGTTTCTAGGGCATCCACACGTACCTCCACCATGGTCAGATCAGCGCGCAAGGCCGCCAGCTCCTCCCTCACTGCCGCTCTGAGCTCCTGGATGAGGCCCCCGGTGTCTGCCTTGGACAGCATGCGGTCCGAGATTGCAGCCAGTTCCTGGCGTATTATTGTAAGTGCGTCCTCCCTGTTCAACTCCTCCGCGCTGGTTCCCACACTTCCCGCTCTCAGGGAGCCCGGCGTCATCTTGTCAGCAGCAAGGGCGGTCCGGGGCTCGGGCTGTGAGGACACAAATTCGTCCAGCGTGCCCTTCTGTTTGCGTGGGGAGCTAGCTGCCGGTACGCCCAGGGGTAACAGCTTCTTGTTCCGGACCATGCTACGAGAGTGTTCAGCTTTATTTTCACTAACAAAGCGGCACGGGGCGAGGAGCTAAAGCACTACACGTCCAGCTCCATGCTTGGTCCGGCCACTCCCCTGGCTGGAGGTAATTTTGTTTAAGTGCCACACAAATTTAGAGTGCCCAACAATTCTTCCTGCCTTATATTATTTGCATTCGAGGAGACATCATTATTAGTGATGTCCCGAACGGTTTGCCACGAACGGTTCGCCGCGGACTCATCATTGAGTAAACTTTGACCCTGTACCTCACAGTCAGCAGACACATTCCAGCCAATCAGCAGCAGACCCCTCCCTCCCAGACCCTCCCACCTCCTGGACTGCATCCATTTTACATTCATTGTGAAGCTGCATTCTTAGTGAGCTGTCCAGGAGGTGGGAGGATCTGGGAGGGAGGGTCTGCTGTTGATTGGCTGGAATGTGTCTGCTGACTGTGAGGTACAGGGTCAAAGTTTACTCAATGATGAGTCCGTGGTGAACCGTTCGGGACATCACTAATCCTAATATGTCAGATATTTGAACTTTCATATTCTCATAGTGGTATTATCATTGATGGCTAAATACTGGCTCTCTTTGGGTGTCCCTCCATTGCCAGAGCTTTTGAAACAAATGTCCCAAATGGGGAAGTATTGGGGCTTGACTAGCCGAGCCTAGTCAACACAAGACTATTGGACTGATGTGTGGGAGATGTGGTACCAGAAAGAAGACAAATAGTTATTGTCCTGGCTTTTGAGAACTCTTTAGTACTTACTTGATTTGAACCAAAGTGAATAAGAATTGCCTTTCATTAAATTTAACAGCCTCCTTGCCTGGAAGATCATGAACTTTGCCATATGTGAAATATTTCCAGAGGGATATTTTCATTTAAAGCCTAACCTTAATGTGTAGTACTTTGTTCCTTCACTTGACACCTAAAACTTGAAAAATTGTCTGTCATAGTGTGAGATCATCGAAAACAGGGATTTTCTGTATTCGGTAAGATATACCTTACAATGTTACCTGTGCAATGTTAAAAATATTTGTGCACTATATGTAACAATTTAATGTATTGTACACTTATATTCTGACTGTGACCAATAAAACTACAATTTGGGGGGGAGGAGGGGAAGGGAAATAGTTTTGAGGTGCCAGTTGTCCTTCAAGGACCTGTAAAACATTTTTCAGGTAATGTTTTCCCTGGCTTTGCATGTTGTGTACTCCCCTTGACAGATATTGAGCTAACCCTCCTCTCCTTCTCTACCTTTATTGACTTATAATTTTACTTTTCTATTTCAAATGTACTGACTATATACATACATGTAAAAAAAAAAAAATACAAACAACCAAATATTAAAATGAATTTCAATGTTGGAGAAAATACATTGCTACGCTTCATAATTTTATTTTTTATTTTTTTTTAAACCAGAATCAAATCAGATGCCCCCCTCCCCTTATTAAGCTCTTGCTTAAACATGCTCTTTTCTGGTTGAGATATGTTTATAAATGCAACAAAAGAAAAATGAGTGGTAGAACATCCCCCTCAGACAAAATGGGGTCCACCACGCCATGTATGTAATATTCTCCTCATCATAAGCAGTGATAGCTTACCATTTCTCTCGACATGTGTTAAGTAAGAATTTTATAACATGACAGGAGGCTTTGTATTTGCTTAAGTCTCTTTTTACTAGAACTCCAAAGCAGCACAGAAAAACAATCAGAAAAAAGTTAGGTTCTATAAAACTCCCCTCCCCATACATAATTTCCTCTCTTTGCTGCTCCACAGTCAGTACAGGTCAGAGTACCACTGCCTCCTGCTTCTAGTGGTTGGCTTTGGGATTTTATTGCTTATATTCAGTATTTTAGCCTTATAAATGCAGTATTGTTATAATCCATGTGCGATTTTATTCTTATAATACAGTACTGTTAGAATCCTTGTGGGATTTTATTTTTATAATACAATATTATGTTCCTTGTGGGATTTTTTTTTTTCTTCCATATTCAGAATTTTATTTTCCCTTGTAGGATTTTTATGCTTATATATTGAATATATTTTCAGAATATTTTATTTAGGCCTTGTGGGATTCATTTTATATGCTATTGCCTTGGTCCTTTGTGTAAATTTTTCTTACACATGCAGTTTTGTTAAAACCCCTGTGGGACTTTATTTTTACTTGTAACTTCAGGCTATCACTGTTTATATACATATTTAGTTTGGATTTGTGGGGGGTCTTTGGGCTCCTCCTGTCTCGTCTATCCCCTTGGCCTTGTCCCCCGTGTCCGTCTCCCAACTTTATATATACTCGTTGTTATATTTTTTTGTTCCGCCTTTGTCCTTATGTCTGGTGATGTCTGTGAGCTCCGGAACCGCGTGGTTCATCTCCTGCAGTCCCGTGTGTTTTTTTCCGGTCGCAGGGGAGCTCGAGACGAGCACCCAGTGGCCGGATCTCCTTTCCCACGTGGCCGATTCGCCACTGTTGCCTCCGCCTGGCGGACCGCGTGTGTCTGACTGGGCAGGGGAGGGTGCGACCGCTCGCTGCCCCTCCCCCCGTCTGTTCCTAACTGATTGGAGGTCTGTTTGAGGGGCTTTCCTCCCCTCTGTCAATCAAGGCCGGATTCCGATCAGCTGAGGGCCCTTCACCCTGCTCAGGGTTAATCTATAACCCAAGATGACGCTGCATTTATAAAATTTTACATAAATATTTTGCTGGACTGGAAAATAGGCTTTAGGCCGTACACCCTGTACTGCTCTGAGGTGCCTGCAGTTTGGTTTTCTGCCTTTGGCCAAACATTAAAGTCTTCCAGTTCCCTGTATAGTGCTATAGCACTTCATCACTAGTAGCTGTAACATCTGTGATATTAGATTGGAGACAGTATAGCAACGTAATCCAGAGGTATTATGTAAAAATACTGTTATAATCACATTACTACCCTGCTAGTGGGTTTTACAATTATTTAACCCAAGGCTTCTCTGTTTCATTACGTATATTTACGCTATCACGGGCCTGCTGTGTCTGTGCCCCATTGATTGGCCTGCTGTGTCTGTGCCCCATTGATTGGCCTGCTGTGTGTGTGCCCCATTGATTGGCCAACTATTCTGTACCCATTCGTTTGGCCTGCTGGGCCTGTGCCCTTCTGACGGGCCTGCTCTATCGGTGCCGAACCCCCTTTTGGCCTGGGGAAATATCACTGAGGAAAACCCAGTACCCACTAGTGACATGGAGATAGGCAGGTGTCCAGGCATGCACCGTTGCCATACTATCCAAGAGGACACCAGTATACGGCCACCTGAGTATGGTGGAAATGATGAAGGCCCTAAACCTCATGCCTGAAGGGCAAGATTTCTTATGAAGACCTCGGGCACGCATCCGCGGTTTACACCAGCCCGGCGACTGCACATCTCCAAGGAGAACTTTGCATAGGCAGGGACTGGCACTCAGTTGCCTACAGGGGGACATGGTGTTTCCTTGTCTTTAACAACTAACCCTCTAACTGCCTCCCGGTATCCATCTAGATATCGGTAGTTATTCCTGCGTAAGTTTAGCTCCTGGCCCTGTTGGCTTACTTGACTTGCCTTCCGGCCTGCATTTTGCCTTCTATCCGAGATAGAATTTACGTATTTACCCTTATCTACATTTTATTATTATTTTTGTGCCTTCCTTTTCCTATCGCTCGGGTCGTCGAGAGGCCTGACTTGACCTCCTCCGACCTCCCACGTGCTCGTGGATTGTGGAGAACGTCTCCAGCTTTCCTCAGGCTACCGACGGTCATCCTGGATCCCGCGCACGGGATCAGGGCGGTCAGTTGGTAGTTTCCATCATTGTTTCAGAAGGTTGCATTTTCGCACCATCCCTTTCTGTTATTAAGAATGGACACGGCCCGAGGTTGTATACTATCCCATCTGCCATCGGTCTGGTTTACTACCAGTTGATTCCTTCTCAGGTGAGTGATTCAGAGAGAGGTCTCATGATCGGGGAGAGACCCACCTAAGGACCTCAGTCTTATGCTAATATTAGTAATTGGTGTACCCCTGCAGTTGGTCACCCTACGCCTCTAAGGGACTCTAGTTTGAATCAGAAGAGGGTGCGGCCCTCCATCACCTCGATCCGAGAATATTTTATTTTCAGCAACAGAGAGCGAACCCCTCTCATATACAGAACCGGACACTGATTTGTTATTAGAGGGCGTGACCCTCCCTCAACCTCAGCCCAATACTGAGCTGGATACATAGGACATGTTTGGAGTGACACATTCTCATAGAGAGAACCGGTCACGGATGTAGATTCTACTGTTTGGTTATTAATGGGTGCGGCCCGCTCAGGCTATCAGCCGGACGCTGACACTGAATTCGCAGCTCTCTCATACACTCAACGCTCTACGGTGCCGTCCATTTGTTCATCACATACAGGGAGTGCAGAATTATTAGTCAAGTTGTATTTTTGAGGATTAATTTTATTATTGAACAACAACCATGTTCTCAATGAACCCAAAAAACTCATTAATATCAAAGCTGAATATTTTTGGAAGTAGTTTTTAGTTTGTTTTTAGTTTAAGCTATGTTAGGGGGATATCTGTGTGTGCAGGTGACTATTACTGTGCATAATTATTAGGCAACTTAACAAAAAACAAATATATACCCATTTCAATTATTTATTATTACCAGTGAAACCAATATAACATCTCAACATTCACAAATATACATTTCTGACATTCAAAACAAAACAAAAACAAATCAGTGACCAATATAGCCACCTTTCTTTGCAAGGACACTCAAAAGCCTGCCATCCATGGATTCTGTCAGTGTTTTGATCTGTTCACCATCAACATTGCGTGCAGCAGCAACTACAGCCTCCCAGACACTGTTCAGAGAGGTGTACTGTTTTCCCTCCTTGTAAATCTCACATTTGATGATGGACCACAGGTTCTCAATGGGGTTCAGATCAGGTGAACAACGAGGCCATGTCATTAGATTTTCTTCTTTTATACCCTTTCTTGCCAGCCAC